ACCTTGCGCTTGCCAGGCAGGCGCTTTGCCGCTGAGCTAAATCCCCAGCCCAGGGAGGAATGATTTCATCTTATGCGGCATATAGTCAGTGTTATTGTATTGTCTTATTGATATAGGGTTGATAGCAAAACCTTCACATATGATATAAGGTAAATATTTTAACTCCCAACCTGCTAGATGTCTGATATGTTGAGTTCATGTTCTCTAAAATCAAAGAATGAATTTTAGGAGCAACAGAGATTAAGAAATGTTAAAAACATTAGGAAATGTTGACCCAATGGGGTAAGACTGGTAATATTGATCCAATGGGGAAGCAAGTCACATAGCTAGTGGGCATGGAAAGATCAAAGAACTTCTCAGGTAGGGGATGGATCTGGGGTCTCAGTTGCCCACTGAGGTGACTTATTCCTAGCTACACTTGATTAGACCAGGTGTTATCACTTACATCATCCCTTGGGAAGTGGGTAGGCCTGATCCTTTCATTGTTATCTTTGTTTGTTTGTTGTGTTTTTTGGTTTTCTTCCGATACCAGGGATTGAACTCATGACCTCGCGTTTGTCAGGCAGGTGCTGTGCCGCTGAGCTAAATCCCCAGCCCTTTTTTTTTGTTGTTGTTGTTTTTCCAGTACCAGGAATTGAACTCACAACCTTGTGCTTGCCAGGCAGGCGCTGTGCCACTGAGCTAAATCCCCAGCCCCTCTTTTGTTGTTATCTTGAGATCTGGCCTCCAACTGATGCATCTCTGGCCACAGTTGTGTGTTTTCTTTCATCTTTTATTTTAACTCTCTCAAGGGCCCAAACCTATCTGACTGTCCATAATATTCTTACCTAATTTAACCACCTATAATATTCCCTCATCTGAGGAAGTATCCCGAACTGCTATGACGGGGTAAAGGGTGATGATCGTTTTGGCTATTCAGGCTGAAGCGACAGTAGCTGTGATTGGCCATCAGAGACACTCTCCAGAGGGTCTATCTGAAAGGTCTTCAGTAGGTGTTCTCATCTTGGATAGGTGCATAGCTGTAAGTCGGAAGGAGACAAAGACAAAGAAATAGGTAACTATGCATAAGCCAAACAATAAAATCAACAAGGCTATTACGAATATAACTTTAAAAATATTTTTACCAGAACCAGTAATAGCTTCCCACAAGAGGGTGAGAAGATCCAGAGAGTTTTAGAATCTGACATGGCATTAACCTGTCATTTAACGTCTTGAATAGTCATTGAGATATTAGCAAAAGTATTAGGACTATATACAGAATATTTAGCTTTTATAATTGTACATGTACCCCCTTGTGCTGTTATCAGATTGTCTAAAGCCATCCAATTTTGGAGGATGGCTTGCCTCATTAATTTTATTTTTTATTTAGGAGAGAAACACCAGTCCAGGTCATTTAAGGCTCACTGACTACTTAACAAGAGGAGCAGGCCACATATCTAGCAAGATGTTAGTTGTAACAACTCTGCATATTATTGTGCCCACACTAGAAAGGACGTGTTTGTTCCATGTGTTCACAGAAGTATTTGGATGATTGCTCACACTCAGTGACAGTTTCTGGTTCCCAGAGTTTGAGTCAGGTGTGATGTATCCAGGAGTCCAGGCCTGCTACCTTGACAGCTGAGGGAGTTGACAGGATCATGGTGTATGGTCCTTCTTAAGTTGGTCTTTGAGACACTTTGTCAGCTCCTTTTAGGTGTCTTCTATAGTGAATAACCACCACTTTGGAAGGCACATAGACAGATGATAAAAGTTTATCTATGTCCTCTGGTTATACTTTTCTGCTGGATGTTTAAGACCAACTTAAAATGAGACCTGTGTTAACCACCAGAGAAGGTTAAGCTAAAATGCAACAGGGGGCAACAAGACCCTAGAGCTCAGCTTTCTGGACACAGGCCAAGGGCCAGAAGATACAAGAGTAAACCAGAAGTCTGAGAAGAGACTACAGAGAAGGGCCATGCTTTCTATCCTTGGGCATGAGCCTGCTCTTCCATGAAATGCTCCTGTTACCAGATTCTGGGGTTCTGTAGACTCTTTCCAGGTCCTTGGTGTTCATCAGGCTGATGTCAGATCTAGGTCATCTTATCAAAACCCAGCTTGATTTCACACTGAAATTGAAGATAATGCTTCCTGATTGGCTGCAGATGAAGGGCTCGGAAACTGTGTTCTGTATTCATGGTTCCTGGATCTCTGATTGACAGGTGGCCCCATTTGCTCAGTCAGCTTGCCACACCCTAATTTCCTGCTTCATTCCTACATATATGAGAGAAGGTTCCCTCACCCTAAGTTCTCACATGCAGCTCTTCTGCTTTATTAGCCTTATGGACTTCTTTTATTTCTCAGGTCAGTACTTAAATTTGCCTGATCAAAGGTGTCATCTCATAATCATTCATTTATGCTATGAACACACATCTATCACAGCCTCGTCCTACCCTGCTCTATTTTTACCAAGGAACACACAGGGTTCATTAATACACTTGATCTCTTTCTTAGTTCATTCTATTTCTCTCCACTCTTGCTATGGAGTTTTGCTAAGCACATTTGTTATGGAGTCTGTAGAATTATGTCTGGCACACAATATATGTCTGCCAAAAGACTCTGAGGCCAAACTGACTAAGCTCCCACTCAACTAAGATCTCACATCAATAAAGAATAATTTGAATATATTAAAATTCATTATATATATATTTAAGTCTATTTTTCACACTAGTGCTCAAACACAAATTTTTAAAAATCAGTCAGTTTTGAAAGGAAGCACTTACTTCAGTCAAGTATTATTTTGCCTGATAAACTATTCCTTGAGGGAACCAAACCTATAATGAAGGACATTACTCCTTGTAAATAATAATCCTAGGACTGGAGGTTTAGCTCAGAAGTAGAATTCTTGCCTAGCAAGGCCCTAGGTACCATCCCCAACCAAACAAAGAAAAAGAAAAAAAGAAAGAAAGAAGAGGAGGAGGAGAAAGGAAAGGAGAGAAGAGAGGAAGGGAGTGAGGGTGAAGGAAAGAAAGATTTCTTGCTCTTACAGGAAGATGGAATAATGGCATTAAAGTATCATCACTTTGTAACCCTAATGAACTGAGTGATGTAAGGCGTGATCATGAAAAGTGATAAAGAAATATTGTACACTTTTTTTTTTTTTTTTTTGAGAAAGAGTATCGCTTTGTAGTTCAGGCTGGCCCTGGCCCTAAACTCACTATGTAGCCCAGGCTGGCCTTGAACTCAAGACAATCTTCCTGCCTCAGCCTCCCAAGTGCTGGGGTTACAGGTGTGTGCCACAACTGGCATTGTATTATGTGCTTCTTGATGGGAGCATACAATCTTACTCAAACTAGGCTTGTTTTTGAAAAATGAACTTGAATTTGATCAAGCCTCCATATTTAACCATCAATTTAAAAGTAACTCACAGGCCAGAAGAGCATGCTAAATGACAACACAGCTATGGAACAAGCAAAACTGAAGCTAAGAGAATTTAACAGAACAAATTATCTAGTTTCTGCGACATTAGCAATGGTCAAGTTGCGGGTGGGGGCCCTCTGGGAGGGGATGATCGAGGTAGAAATTTAACAAGAAATGAAGAGTTGTAAAAGTCTGTTACGTGGATGATTCATACATGTCTGCAAAAGAACAGACTAGAAAAAAGGTAAGATGACCATGGAAATGACATTGGCTGGGTATTAAATGACTGCATGAATTATGGTTATTTTTAAGGGCGAAGGAAGCAAGAAGCCTTCGTATCTAAACGTACTAATATAGTTATGGGTGAAATGATATAAAGTTCTCGATTTTTCTCCAAAATAACCACTGAGAAATGAATGTATAGGCCAAACAGGATATTGGGAAATGTCAGAGGAGGAGAGAGGTTTTAGAGTAGACGAGAAAGGAAAAGAAAAGGAAGGGAGAACAGGAAGCTCCAGAGAAAGCAGACGGGAACTGCGCACCTCCTACCACTAGAGGTCAGGGGAGGAGCGTTCCTTGATGCCCTGAAGGCTGGGCTGCTCCTCCAAACGCTCTTTGAGGGCCTTGAGATTCCTCAAAAAGGAGAGACTGAGACAAGGGCTTCCATGCAGAAGGTGATGTTAGGAACAGACCAGGTGGATTAGTGGGGGGACCGGGAAGAATCCGGGAGGGAAAAGGAAAACCAATCCACAGCCATAATAAAATCTAGCTGTTTGCCACTTTAAGAATCTGTGCCACGATGTGGGGTCTTTTGAGGGACCGGAAATTGTCCCAGCAGAGGGGGTGGGCGGGGACGTTCGCTCTTTAGCTCCCACCCTCCGCTCAGAGGAGGGCTGCCTAGAGCTTATTTCCTTCTCACTTTCAGGTTTCCACATACAGTAATGATTCCCACTACCTGTGGCCAACCATGATCCATAAATATTAACCGGGAAATTCCAGAAGTAACAGTGTATAAATTTTCATTTGTGCCATCTCAAGCAGCGTGATGAAATCTCAGGCGATCCTACTCCATCCTTGCCGAGAGCCGAATCCTCCCTTAGTCCAGAGTACCCACGCTGCAGTCACCCAGTAGCTACCTCTGTGAGCGACTACCGGGACATCACAGTCTCCTGTCCAGGTAATCCTTATGCCAGGGCCTAACACTGTGTCACCTTAGCATGCAATCCTCCTGACTTTCCCCATCACACCAGCACTATATCATCTCACACGGGTGAGTCAAGTCCTTCCTTCTCCCTGTGCCTCTGGACTTCCTGGATGCATCGGGGGCAGGCCAGTGAAGCTGAACATTATCACAGCAACACATGTACCCCGAGAAGCGGATACTGTCTTTGTGCTACCAAGGGAAAACCCAAATAAATCCTCTCACTTCCCTTGCTTTTAGTAGATTTTTTAAATCACTAATTTTGGAGGCCACGCAGCTGAGCCACAGATTACCAGACTCCCGCTGGCTTCCCTGTAAATGGCACTGCTGACTGTGTTGCCGGCTAATTCTTAGGTTTGCACGCTTAGGTTTGTTTGCTGGCCGCTGGCCAAATCAAAGGAGGTCATTAAAGGAAAAAGGATTTATTCAAAGTTAGTTCCAAGGAGATGGAGAGGCCTATTTGCCTCAAATCACCATCTCCCTGTGTATGGGTGGGGAAGGGTCTTTCGCAGCAAGGAGGGGAGGGGAGGGAGCACAGAGAGACAAGCAGATCTCCACACGTGCTTTCCCGTTTCAGCCATCTTTGGTCCGGTCCTGCCTTGTGGAAGGGAACCTGGCTTTCACCTCCCACGCCTGGCACTTGTGTATTCTTTTGTCAGGCTGAGGGGAGGAAGCGCTGGTTGTGTGCTCAGCAGGAGGAAGTTTAGGAGGAACTGCTTATCTCCAAGAGAACAAACTCTAACTTTGACAGTACCATTTTGCAGTGCCCGTGACCACTGAAGCTGCCTAATAGACTGAAGCTGCCTAACAGACTGAAGCAGTGAAGCTGCCTTTCAGGATCTTTGCCTGTCGGAGCTGCTTTTCTGTCACCTTTCCCAGGTTTCCATGGGACAATGGCCCTTCTGCTATTGTCCTCCATTCTTCAGTGAAAGACCTCTTTTGTATCTTCATGATTAGCTCCAGGTTTAGCTATTCCAAAGAACTAAAAAGACGTGAGTCAGACTGTCACCAGACAGGGTCCTACAGTAACCGGGTTTCAGAGTTCATAGCAACCCGAGCACTTGTGTCAGGGCACCAGACAATGGACTTGAAGACAGAGGAGGTGAAGAGAAGGGAAGTTTTATTGGGCGAAATAACCTAGGCAGTTTATTTGGTTAATAAGTTTTATTAGGAGAAATAAACTAATAAATTAGGCAGGAGGGACTCCAAAAATGGGTTGTTGCTGAGGCTTCCTGTCTAGTGAGGTTAGGGTTAGGGTTAGGGTTAGAGCAAACTGTAACCAAACTATAGAATTACAACACAGCCACTTGGTTAATATTGATCTAGTAGAAAAACAAGTCACATAGCAAGGGTATATCTGCAGCATCACGTACTTTAGCTTTCCTGTACTTTTGACATAGAGAACAAAGGCATTCCCGGAAGGGCGTTCTGGTCACCTGTCTACGTGTTTGTTATGATATTCAGGCCTACTGGACCAGGTTGTGTGAGTTATAATGCAACTTCAAACTGTTATTTGTCTCTGGTGAGGCTTGCAGCCCTGTTATCAGGGTTCTAGGGTACTTGGGTTCCTTCTAGGGATCTTTTCCATATTCTTCTTGTCCTGTATGAAGAATTGGACAAGACAGGTGCCAAAGGTAGTAAGGTATTACATTTACTAAAGGTAGAAAATTGTATTTTGTGTCTTCCATTCTGACATCAGATCTAGGCCATCCTATCAAAACCTACTTGAATTCACACTAGAATTGAAGATGGCATTTTCTGATTGGTCCCAGGTGTAGGACTTAGACACATGTATCCTGGATCTCCATGACTGACAGGTCACACCCACTTGCCCAGCTGGCTGACCATGCCCTAGTCTCCTGCCTCTGGCTGAGCCATCCCACCTCCATTTTGAGGCCTGCTTTCTACAACTCAGCTCTTGACCACAGGCCTGGTTTGCCTCATCTCTATTCTGACTCCATCTTGGGCTCTGTCCCTTGCTAACTGTCAATCACTCTACCTCACTTAGCTATAGTAGGAGATTTCCAAAGGGGTCATGAGGAAGCTAAACCCACCTAAACATAGAATTAAATTGTAGATTCCCTGATTCCTGTCACGGAAAAAGAATTTTTAGGATGTATCAGGAAGAGCCATAAAGGGACTTACTAGGCACAAACTTAAAAGTACGCACTCATAGAAAGAGTGTGGTCCCTCAAGAAAGGAAAGTGTCTTATAACCTGTAGCAGGATATTTTTTTATAGGCTCTTGGGGTACCTTTAATCTAGGATGTATATTCCTACTCTCTGTAAGGTCATCCATCTGGGGCTCTGTTAGAATGCATTTTTTTTGTTTTTGTTTTTGTTTTGTTTTTTGGAATTGGGACTCAAACTGAGGACCTCACACTTGCAAGGCAGGCACCTTGCCACTGAGCTATATTCCCGGCCCTTCTCTTAGAATGCAAACCAAGGGGCTGGGGATTTAGCTCAGTGGCAGGGTGCCTGCCTAGCAAGCGCAAGGTCGTGAGTTCAATTTCCAGTAATGGAAAAAAAACAGAATGCAAACCATTCACATGTGGTTGAAGTTTAGATCTGCTGCCCACTACCATTGCTGCTTTCTTGAGGATAGAGGAAGTGTAAGTTACAGCACAGGGCCCAGGGCCCAATTTATAGGTTTAATGTGTCTTTAAGGCCCTTGGGATTCTTTTTTTAAGTGAATTTCCTGGAAGGGAAAAAGACTTGAGTATATTTTGTACCCTAAATCTTCAATTTTCTAAAAAGTACAATTTTTAAATTCCAAGTTTCCTTATCTCTTTATACCTGTAATTTTTTTCCACCCTACCTCTGTAAGATCTTCTAATCAGTAACTTTTCCTTCGACTTACAAAGGCCAGGATTTGTGACCTACAGATAAGCTAGGAAAAAATAGGCCACCCAAAGTGTGTAATTGCCCTGGTGCCCATCTGATATGCCTCAGAAGAAAAAAATCCCTGTAAAAGCCTTGCTCCTGAATCACCAAGCAACATGGCTTTTTGTTTAAGGTGAGTTGGGGGCTGGGGATTTAGCTCAGCGGCACAGCGCCTGTCCTGCAGGTGCAAGGTCGTGAGTTCAATCCCCGGTACCAGAAAAAAAAAAAAAAAAAAAAAAAAGAAAGAAAAAGATGAGTGTCCTCATCCGCCCACTTCCTGGCTTCTTGCCACTACACCTCCTTTGCGCTCCATTACTCTTACCTCTGACACGTTTGGTTTCATCCAGTAGCGGCTGGACCAGACCTGCTTCACGATGACATTTGGAACGTTTCAAAGTTCCTAAGGGCAGCCTAGGAGTTAATCCAGGACAGTGGGTGCAGAGGCAGAGGAAGGGAGCAAAAAGAAAGGCGGTGTAGGAGGCAAACGGAGCTTCCACTTGTGGGTTTCAGATCTGTTAACAATACAAAAAGAAAAGCCCCCCCTTTCTTTCCCTTCGGAAAAAAACAGGCGGCCACCAGCGTCCAGCAGCTCCCGGCCTGCACGCGGGCATGTGGGGTGCGGGGCTGGGAAGCCCCCGAGCCTGGCCTTCCCCGCAGCCTCCAGGGCTCAGGGGTACAGGGGAGAAAGTCGTGCAAGGAATGCAAATCTGCTGGGGGGCTCAAGTGAGGCTGGCTGGACGTCCCCCTCCTCCCCTAGTTCCCTAATCCGTGCGCTGAGAGGACAGAAAGGAAACAGAAAGTTCGAAGGGCTCGGTTCCTCCGCCAGCAGCTCGCCTGAGTTTTCACATCCACAAGCGGTGGCATCTCCAGTTTGTCCGCGAATTCACAGCTTTCTAATCATACAATTGCATTTCTTTTTCTTCGTGAAAACCTGAGCGAATGTGATCTCTGGAGTCACAAATACTGGGGGATCTTGGAATCCCATGGAAAAGTGTGTAATTTTTTGGTACTGAAAGTAGTATGAGCCGGGCGTGGTGGCGCATTCCTGTGATCCCAGCGCTCGGGAGGCTGAGGCAGGAGGATCACTGTGAGTTCAAGGCCAGCCTGGACTCTGTAGTGAGATCCTGTCTCAAAAAGAAAGCAGTATGGATGCATATTTCTTAAGAAGTGGAATAGAAAGAAATTCACGCTCCCTTCCTCCATGGTCTGTGTTCCTCTGTGTCAGTTATTGGGTGCAGGAAACAAGTCATGTCCAAAAACATTAAATAGAAAACTCCAGAATAAATCATAAGCTTTAAAACACCTTTGCTACAATATATTATTATAATTTTTGGAGTTTGTTTTTGTTTGAGACAGGGTCTTGCTATGTAGTTCAGGTTGATCTTGAGCTCGCTATGTAGCCCAGGCTGGCCTCAAACTCATGAAGATTTTCCTGCCTCAGCTTCCCACATGTTGGGATTACAGGCATGTGCCACCATGCCAGACTCTAATAGTTCTGTTTTATTTTTAGTTCTTGCTGTCCATGTCTTACTGTGGCTAATTTATGAATTAAATGTTACCATAAGTGTGTAGGCATAGGAAAAACATTATAGATATAGATGGTTGATACTGTGCATGGGTTGACCTATCTACTGGGGTTTTGGAACATGACCCCCAAGGATAAGGGAGACCACTGTGTTTCAAAGGCTGTAGGAGGGGCTAGGGATTTAGCTCAGTGGCAAAAAGCGCCTGCCTGGCAAGCGCAAGGTCGTGAGTTCGGTTCCCGGTACCAGAGAAAAACCAAAAAAAAAAAAAAAAAAAACAAAGGCTGTAGGAATACAGTTTGAACTGGAAGACCACTCTGACCTCCACTTGCTTGTGCTTATAAAGAATTTTGCAATGTAAATGGCATTAAACCTCTCAAGTAGAAGGAATTACTATTTTAGCTAGAAAATATGACAAAGTAAAAAGTTAAACACACCAGCTGAGTTGTAAGTTCTTCATTTAATTGTCAACAGTAGTTTGGTGTCTATGATGATGAGTATCTATTTGAGTATATAATAGAACAAGGTGTTTAAAAACCTGGAATGATTAAGGTAAATCTTCCGTCCTTCCTCTGACCCTGCCTTAACTGACCCTGCGTCAGAATCCTGGCCACCCGCAGGTGGCTGCTTTTATAAATCCTTGCACGCCTTCCCGGGGCTCTTTGTTTAACGAGGTCATTAGACGCTCTTTGGCAGCTTGCTTTGATCACTTCACATTAAATAATGGGGAATTCTCTCCAGGAGAACTGCATGAAAGTCATCAGCCCTTTCTCCCCCTTGCTACATACCACTGTGTGGCCGTAGCTTAAAACACTCAATCATCCCCCAGAAAACGCCTTTTAGATGCTATGAGGGATACAATGTCATAGATGCAACCTGTCTGCATTTGAAAGGCTTTGAAAGTGTTCTATTAGTCCGCGTTTGCAGTACATAATGTTCTTATCCTGGTGTGGAGCTGGTTCGTGTACATAATGCATCTTAGTTCCTTGTTTCTTTTTTCTTTTTTTAGTCCCTTTTTTCATCCCCTCTGCTCTGCTTCCAATAAATCAAACACACAAGCTTAAACATTGCATCATTTCTCTTACATGAGAAACTCAAAGGAGAATTAAAACTTTTTGAAAAATAAAATTATGAAAGAGCCAGGCGTGCTGGTGCACGCCTGTAATCCCAGCACTCAGGAGGCTGAGGCGGGTGGATCATTGCAAGTTCAAGACCAGCCTGGGCTACAAAGTGAGCTCAAGGACAGCCTGAACTGCATAGTGAGACCCTGTCTCAAAAAGACAAAAAAACAAAAACAAAATAAAATTATGAAAAAATTTCTAAAACCAAAGAAAAAAACCACTAACACAAATTCTCTGTACCTGTCTTTTAAAATGGAATAGTCTCAACTCCACTCAATATATGCCACAACATGGAAAACACTGTAGCCGGGAAGTCACATTAAGTAAATTATAGGCGGGGCTGGGGATTTAGCTCAGTGGCAAAAAGCGCCTGTCTGGCAAGCGCAAGGTCGTGAGTTCGGTTCCCGGTACCGGAAAAAAACAAAAAACCAAAAAAAAAAAAGGAAGTAAATTATAGGCTGAGTGTGGTGGCACACACCTGTAATCCCAGCACTCAAGAGGCTGAAGCAGGAGGATCACTGTGAGTTCGAGGCCAGCCTGGGCTACAAAGTGAGTTCAAGGCCAGCCTGAACTGAATAGTGAGACCCTGTCACCCACCCAAAAAAAGAAGTGAATTACACCTGTAATTACAGTTCCACACTTGTGATCCTGTTAGGGTCGAGACACTTGCCGCGTGAAGGAAGACTCCAAGAGACGCTCTCTCATGCAAAAAGCAAGGGGATTTTATTCACCAAGCATGCATGGGGCTCACTGAGCTCGCAGGAACAGAGAGCCCCGAGCCAGGTCAGTTCTGGCTCTTTAACCCGAAAAACCACAAAGGAGGGGGCTTGCAAGCGTCATTACAGAAGCAGATGGCATTGGTTAATACACATAGTTTTTTACACTTATTGGGCCTCTATGATGTATAGTGTGCAGGAATGCAGAGTTTTTCTGCTTATGGGCAAGGGGAGGGGGAGATATCTGTGTCAACACCAGATGTTCTTTCTTCCAAGGACAGAAGATAATGCTCTGGCCCTTCTGGCGCTCCCTCCTTTCCGGGCAATCTCAAACCTGTTGAAACTGTTTATCTATGAGTCACAAGAAGCCTTATTTTTACATTTCCACAATCCTAGCATTCTAGGAAGCTGAGGCAGGAGGATTACAAGTTTGAACCCAGCCTGAGCAACTTAGAGTCTCAGTGAAACCCTGCCTCAAAATAAAAAATTTTAAAACTCCTGAAGATGTAGCTCAGTGCAAAGGCCCTGGTTTCAAACCCCAGTACCACCAAAACAAAAAGTGAGTGCAAGGTCTGGAGTCACGGTCCCTAGGTAGATGCAGAGGGCACTGGGTCTCTCTCGTAAGCGAAGCCCTGAGTTCAATCTCCAGCACAGCCTAAAACAAAAGTAGATGTAACATGAATTGCATACATGACACAGTCTACAAAATAACGGCACAAAGTGAGCCAATGTTTTTGGAAGCTGGAATATTCAATAAAATGTCACTAAGTAGAACTTGACAGCACATGCACTGCCTAAGTCATCATGATGAAGAGGCACTTACAGCATGCAAAAGAGGCCTGGTGTTAGCCGATCCATTCATGCTGCCTATCTTGTGGTTGAGAAATTCACCCAATCAGCTTCCTACTTGCAGATAGTCCATTTAGCAAGATTCAACACTGGTTTCGCTTCTACAGTTTCAAGAGAAATTGATAATTTTTGATATGAAAGTAAATATTTAGATTGAGAAAAGAAATTAGATAATTACAGCATTTTTTGCTCCCATAGTTTGTTTTGTTTTGGTTTGTTTTTTGGGTTTCTGTTGTTTGTTTGTTTGTTTGTTTGTTTGTTTTTTGGGTATTGGGAACCGAGCTCACAACCTCACACTTGCCATGCAGGCACTGTGCCACTGAGCTACATCCCTAGCCCCTGCAGCTTTTTTTTGTAAAACACCAAAGCCATCACAAATTCAGGGGAAATAATATATATTTAGTTAGTAACTGCCTGACAGCTGCCCATCCTTCTGTCTTCTAGTTGACTTTTATTTGAATGCTTCTATTATGTAATACCTTTGGGGAAAATATATGTCATTCAGCTTTTGCTAGCATAGTTAATTAAATCTAATTATTCATAGTTTAGAAAAGTTTCAAGTCCCAACTTATTGTGGACAATGTCATGTAAATGTTTAGGTTTGTTCTCAAAGTAAGGGAAATCACCAACAAATTTCATCCAAATTTGAATTTTTGTCAGGAGAGATGGTGCATGCCTGTAATCCCAGCACTCAGGAGGCTGAGGCAGGAGGACTGTTGCAAGTTCGAGACCAGCCTGGGCTACAAAGTGAGCTCAAGGCCAGCCTGAACTGCACAGCAAGACCCTGTTTCAAAAAGACAAATAATAATAATATTAATTAATTAATTAATCAAAATAAAAATATAGTCTAAGGTACTTCAAATAGCTTAAATAGCTTACCTTGGGCTGACTACTGCTCATGGACAGACTCCCCCTCACACACACTCTGTCTCTTTTCTAGAAGCTAGAGGGCATTTTTATGTCAAAATGCATATGGTAGCCTGAAAACCACAGCTGGCACCATGACACAGGTGATGGTTCCAGGAAGTCATTACTACCCCATGGAAATGTCTGCAAGCCACCACATCCCACTAAACACCAAATTGGTAATGTGTCCCCACATCAACATCCCCTTATGGGCCACTGTAACACCACAGCATTGAGAGAGTGGGCCAGGAGAAAGTCAGAACTGGAAAAAGTGCTTGTGCCCAGCATCAGTGCATTCAAGACGTGTCTGTGTTGCTCTGTCAGTCATTCGTTCCTCTTCATGGCTGTGTAATATTCTACTGTATGGTTGTATCCATTAGTGTTTCCACCATTGGTGGATTGTTTCCAGTTTGGGATGATTGTTAATAAAGATGCTGCAAATGCTTATTATTTGCAGGTTTTTATGTGAACACAGATTTTCATTTCAGTTGGGTGAATACCTGGGAGTGAAATTACTAGGTGATATGGTTAAATGTGAACATAATTTATCTACAGTCAAATGTACCCATTTAAATACATCATGGGCTAGTGTGGAAATTTTTCCTAGTCTCTAAATGTGTACATGTTATTGTGTATCAATTATACCTCAA